CTTTAAAAAAGATAAACAAGATGGGGCTGGAGAGATGGCTCAGAGGTTAAGAGTACTGACTGCTCTTGTAGAGGACCCAGGTTTGATTCTCAGCACCCACATGGAGGATACAAACCATCCTTAACTCTAGTTCCAGGGGGATCCGATGCCCTCTTCTGACCTCTGCAGCATTGCACGACACGAGTGCACTCCACATACATGCAGGTAATACACTCATACACATAAAATAAAAATAATAAATAAACTAACCAAAAGAAAAAGAAGGCTCAAATTAATAAAATTAGATGTGAAAAGGAGTCATTACAACTGTTACCAACGAAATTCAGAAAATAACTAGATATTAGATATTTAGATTGGAACAACTAAAATGGATGACTTTCTAGATGCAAGTGGCCTACCAAAATTAAATCAGGATTAGATTTAAAAAATTTAAGCATATCTATGGCAGCAGTGAGACTATGCAATAATTTAAAAATCTCCCAACAAGGGGCTGGAAAGATGGCTCAGCAGTTAAATGCACTGGCTGTTCTTGCAGAGGACCTGGGTTTGATCCCTAGCACCCACATGGAAGCTAACAACTGTTCATAACTCTAGTTCCAGGGAAGTCTGATGCCCACTTCTGACCTCTGGAGGCATTGCATGACACAGGGGCACTTACATACATGCAGGCAGTACACTCATAAAGATAAAATAAAATTAATAAATATCTTTTTAAAAATATCTCCCAACTAAAACAAGAATCCAGGCCCACATGAATTCACTGGTGAATTTTACAGGACCTTCAAAGATTAATACCAATACTTCTCAAACTATTCCATGAAACAGAATAGGAAGGAACATTAACAAACAAACAGTTTTTATGAAGCTAGTATTAGCCTGATACCAAAAGCACATAAAAATGCAATAAAAAATTACAGACCAATCTCTCTGATGAACACAGACCCAAAGTTCTCAACAAAGTACTTGCCAACCAAATTCAAGAACACATCAAAAAGATCATTCACCATGATCAAGTTGGCTATATGCGGGGATCTTCAAGATATATAAATCAATACATATTATAAATTTCATAAATAGTCTCAAGGACAGAAATCATATGGTCATTTCAATAAATGCAGAAAATTGTTGACAAAATACAACATCCATTCATGATAAAAGTCCTAAAGAAACACAGAATAGATGGAACATTTCCCAACACAGTAAAGGGTATAGATAGCAAACCTATAACCAACGTTATATTATATAGGGAAAACCACAAAGCATTTCCCCTAAAATCACAAACAAGACAAGGGTGTCCTTTTTCTCCACTTTTATTCAATATAGTACTATAAGTCTTAGCTAGAGTAGTAAGACAAGAAAAGCAAATAAAAGGGAAAGAAAACAAAGAATCTGTATTTGAAAATAGCATGATTCTATACATAAAAGACCCTAAAGACTCCATCATAAAACTCTTAAAACTGATGAATACTTAAGTTCGGCATAGTTGTGCATAACTTTTATCCCAGCACTCAGGAGGCAGAAGCAGGCAGATGTCTGTGAGACTGAGGCCAGCCTGGACTACATAGCAAGTTCTAGCCCAGCTGGGGCTACAGGGAGACCCTGTCTCAAAAAACAAAACAAAAAAACTGATTAACATTTTCATCAAAGTGGCAATATATTAAAAAAATCAACATACAAAAATCAGTAGCCTTCTTATAGATCAATGACAAACTGAAAAAGAAATCAGGGAAACAATCCCACTCATGGTAGCTTCAAAACCAAAACCAAACCTCCGTGGAATAACTCTAAGAATGTGAAAGACCTCTATAATGAAAATTTGTAAATGCTTTAGAAGGATTGTGAAGAAGATACTAGAAGATGGAAAGACCTCCCCCACTCATGGACTGGTAGGATTAATATTCTGAAAATGGAGATCCTAACAACAGTGCAATCTCAATCAAAATTCCAGAGACATAAGGCATGCTTTTAATATCGGCAATCAGGAGGCAGCAGCTAGTGGATCTCTCTGTCAGTCCAAGGCCAGCCTGGTCTATGTAGCAAGTTCCAGACTACATAATGAGACATCTCAAAAAAACAAAAACATAAAGCAACAACAACAAATTCCAGTGACATTTTTCACTTTTTTTTTCTTTTTGGTCTTTTTTTAGACCAGGTCTTCCTGTTTCCCCTCCAACTAGGCGTGTGCCACCACTCCTGGCCTAGAAAAAAATCATCTTAAAATTCATATGAATACTCTGGTTTCTCTTCCGATCGTATAAATCTTTTGCCTTTTAAAATTCATATTGAGGCCAGGTGTGGTGGCACATGCCTTTAATCTCAGCACTTGGGAGGCAAAGGCAGGCAGATCTCTGTGAGTTCAAGGCCAGCCTGGTCTACATAGAGAGTTCCAGGCCAGCTGGGGCTACAGGGAGACCCTGTCTCAAAAAGACCCAAAAAATAATTTTTAAAAATTAAATAAATAAATAATAAATAAATTCATATGGAAGCACAGAAGACCCTGGGCAGCCAAAGGAATCCTGAGCAAAAAGAATACTGCTGGAGCTATCACCATACCTAGTTCAAGTTATACTACAGAGCCACAGCTATAAAAACTGCATGGTATTGCCACAAAAATAGACACGCAGATCAAGGAAATAGAACCCAGAATTAAGATCAAACAACTACAGTCAACTGATATATTTTTTTTTTTACCTTTGATTTGTTTGTGTAGAAGAGGGTATACATGTGCCAGGTGTGGAGGTCAGAGGACAACTTGCTGGAATCTGCTCTCCCCTTCCACTATGTGAGTCCTGGACACAGAACAGTTTGCCAGGCTTGGTGACAGACATCTTTACTCTGACCCATCTCACTAGGCCCAGCTACCCGATTTTTAACAAAGATGACAAAAACATTGAAAAAAAGACAGCATCTTCAACAAATGGTACTAGGAAAACTGGATGTCTACATGCAGAAAAATGAAATTAGACCCATAGCTATTACCTTGCATAAAACTCAATACCAAATGTATCAAGGACCTCAGCATAAGATCTGAAACTGCTAGGAAATAGTGATTATACTTCAAGACACGGGTATAGGTAAAGACTTTCTTACAGGATTACTCAGAAAATAAGGCTAATCATCAACAAATGGGATTTCATGAAATTAAAAAGCTTTTGTACTGCAAAGGAAACTCAACTGAGTGAAAAGGCAGCCATAGAATGGGAGAAAACCTTTGCCAGCCATACATCCAACAGAAGATTAGCACCTAGAATATACAAAAACTCAAGAAATTAAACATCAAGAAAACAACCTAATCAAAAAATGGGCAATGTACCAAAACAGTTCCCCCAATGAAATACAAATAGCTAATAAATATTGTTAAGGTGCTCAAAATCATTAGCCATCAGGGAAACGCAAATTAAAAATACTTAGGAGATTTTGCATCACCCCAGGTCAGAATGGCCATCATCAAGAAAACAAACGACAACAAATGCTGGCAAGGATATGGGATGTGGGGAAAGGAACCCTTATCCATTGTTGGTGGGAGTATAAATTGATGTAGTCCCTATGGAAGTGAATGTAGAGTTTTCTCAAAAGGCTACAACTAAGGGCTAAAGAAGTTGGCTCAGGGGTTAAGAGTACTTGCTGTTCTTCTAGAGGACCTATGTTCAATTCTCCAGCACCACATGGCAGCTCTATTGCCCTCTTGAAGCCTTTGTAGGCACTACAGACATACCAGTATAAATACAGGAAATCCAAATAGTTGGGGCTTTTTTTGATTTTGTTTTTTGTGGTTTTTTTGTTTTGTTTTTTTTAAATACAGGGTCTTCCTATACCCCAGATAGCCTGGAACTTGTTATGTAGACCAGGCTGGCCTTGAACTCACAGAGATCTGCCTGCCTCTGCCTCCCGAGTGCTGGGATTAAAAGATTGCACCACCACGCTCAGCCAATCCAAATACTTTACAAATAAAAATAAAAAGTTTTTAAAGGCTACAACTAGAACATACGGGCCAGTCACACACTCCTGGACATACATCCAAAGGACTTTATATCCTGCACAGAGATGCTAGGACATTCATGTTTACTGAAGCTGTTTTCACAATACCAAGGAAACAGGATCAGCCTACATGCCCATCAATGATGAATAGACAGTAAAAATGTGGTACATATATACAATGGAATTTTTTTCAGCTGTAAAGAAAAATGAAGTTTTCAAAAAAAATGGATAGAACTGGAAAATATTATACTAAGACCCAGATTATTAATATTAACTCAGGCCCAGAAAGACAAACACTGCAGGTCTCATATATGGATCCTAGCTTCAAATGTTTAGATTTGTATGTCTAACTTGGACAGAGGTCAGGAAGCCAGAAAGGGCCCATGACAGGATGAAGGGAAGGTCTTAGTAGGGGGGAAGGGATAGAACACATGTGATGTGAAAGAGAGGGGGAATACTGGGGGTTAAAGGTTTAAGGGGTCGTGAGGTGGGAAGGATAAAGGAGAAGTGGATGGGGGAGGCAGTAACCAAAACTGTTTGCCCATGATCCAGTGAATGGCCCCACACCCATGCACATACAGGTAATACTAACTGTACTCAATGGATTTAGAAAAAAGAAGACACAAAGTTGGGAGGGAGGCATGTGAGAGGATTCAAGGGACTGGAGGAGGGTGGAGATAATCTAACTATATATATTTTAAAACATATATCCAGGCAAAATTTAATTATGTAAAACTAAGTGTGCAAATCCATCTCATTGTGCAGATTTGTTTTCATCTTTAATAAATGGTAAAATTTTATATATATGTGTGTGTGTGTGTATTCTTTATGACTCATTATCAGTAAATATTTGATTTGTATACCTATTTTATATAACTGCCTATCTGGGGTAGTATAAAAATTTCAGGAAAAAAGAATTGCAAGTAGAAAAGATTTAAGAGGTCTTGCTTTAAACCACCAGATTAAAGGGTAAGAGTGAAAATTACCGTTCTTATGTAACATTATGTAACTTCCTGAATTACCTTGCATGAGGTAAAGCAGTAGCAGCCAAACAAAGATTCTTAGAGAGGTGACCTGAATCCACCAACTGCTGAACAATGGAAAAAACACAACTCGAACAAGCCCCTTCCGAGTCAAAGATGTCCATGGAATCTCAGGCTTGGCTTTGGCAAATGTTGAGCCTTGAAGCATACAGTAAAACAAAATAATAAGCACTTTATAAAATGAAATAAGAAACATGTATGTGTACTATACTGATGGCCACTGTCACATTACATTAAAAACAGGGAGGAGCAAAAATCAGCACATGACCTGTTGAGCAAAGATGTTGGCAAGATTTCTTAGACCATCTTGACTCACACACTAGGACAGGTGCTCAAAATAAGTCAAGCTCACCTGAATGGCCAACAATACATTTTTCTCAATGGCACAACAGTAAATCTTCAAGTTCATCTCTCTTTGACATTCATGAAAACCATATTAATTTTTTAAAAATATTATATTTATTATTTTATGTGTATGCATGTATTGGTAAGTGCACCTGTGTCATGCAATGCCCGTGGAGGACAGAAGAGACTGTCAGATCCCCTGGAACTGGAGTTACGGACAGTTGTTAGCTGCCATGTCGGTGCTGGGATTCAAACCTGGGTGTTCTGCAAGAACAGTCAGCGTTCTTAACCACAGAGCCATCTCTCCAGCCCGAAAACCATGTTATTTATATAACCACAAAGCAGAAAAGAGTGTAAAACTCTGAATGACAATGGGAAAATGTTATTGACAAAGTATGCCACCATATATATAGGGAAGCTATCTAAAAGAAACTATGGTGCCAGTGTGAAATACTATATAGTACGTGAGGTGGCACTTGCCTGCAACCTCAGTACTTGGAAGACTACAGTGAGATGACTACAAGTTTGAAGCCTATCTGGGGTACATAGTGAGACTTTTAAAAAGGAAAGAGGGAGAGATAGAGACAGAGGTAGAGACAGAAGGGAGGAAGGGAGAGAAAAAAATAATATGTAATAATATGTATAAGAAACAAATCAATTTTTAAACTCACCTCTGATTAAGTCGACATCAATCAAGTCTGACTTTATGTGACCCATCTTTTTTGGTTTGTTTTTGAAGCCCTACGAGAAAACAAAACAAAAACAGAAATGAATAAAAAAAAATTATTTTAAATGTAAACGATAAGCTACCTTTTCTTTGGTGCCTGAAGAGCCTGAGAGGGAGCTTCTGAGGTGCCACTTATGTTCCAGTTCTTTATCTGAGTACTGGAGGCCACATTCAGCTTTGGAAACTCAAGCTGTATACTTACAATTCCATTACATATGCATGCATTTTCATGTTTTTTAACTTATCAGAAATATAGCTTACAGACTTGGGGCCTCACTATAAGGTAACCAAGGTTAGCCACCACCATTACAGAATCACCAAGTGGCAGTGCTCAGAGCTGATTTTTCTTGGGGTCTCCAAAAGAATCCTCCCAAATTCTCATTGATTGAGGGGTTATAGGGTTGGAGGATTCTGGGGCAGGGCTTTGAAAATTCCACTAAAGGACTTACAATGATGTCTTTATTATTATGACTTCTATCTAACCTTCATCCCTGGAGCCTCTCCAATATATTTTCTCAGAAGTAGTATCACAGGTTTCCTACCTAAGGGCTTGTTGTCTAGTTAAGTGGCTGTAAGTGGCTGGGGGAGGTGGGAAGGGAGTATCCCACCCTCTGCATAAAAACTATATCCAATTCCTACTTTTAGCCCAGAGCTCATCTTTCCCGCAGACAAAACTTGGTGACTCTAGTCTCAAGACTCTCAGGAAGCTGCTGGGCAAGCCGCCTTCCCACTCTGCATTCTCCTCTGTAGTCCTGATGGTCATCTGACTTCTCATCTGCTAAGGTTCCTCTTTAGTCATATTCCTCAATACTGTCATGTATCTACTTGACAAAACTCCTTTATGAGGCTCTTTAACATAACTTTGCCATGAACATTAATTTCAGAGAATGGCAAACACTTTCAGGGTTGCAGTCGTCTACTGATTTGAATTACAGGAGCTTGATCTGCACTGTTACTGGATACTATATGTTGTACCCTCATGTTTCTAATAGTTCTAAATTTGATCATTATTGAAGAGATGGCATTTTCTTACCTGTGTTAGGATATGGATAGAAGATTTTAGAATAACTATAGATTTGAAAATCATAAGCTTGCCATACCTTAAGTATAATTTGTGAAATTATCTTTTGGTTTTGTTTGTGTTTTGAGATGGGTCTCCCTGTAGCTTCAGCTGGCCTGGAACTCAGAAATCCACTTGCCCCTGCCACTCATACACATAAAAGAAAAATAATAGGGTCTGGAGAGATGGATCAGCAATTAAGAACACTGGTTGTTCTTACAGAAGACCCAGGTTCGAATCCCAGCACCCATGTGGCAGCTAACAACTGTCCATAACTCCAGTCCCAGGGGATCCAACAACCTCTTCTGACTTCCGCGGGCATTGCATGATACAGGTGCACTTACCTACAGGCAAGCAATACACGCATACACATAAAATAAAAATAATAAACAAAAATTTACAGGGTTTATACTGAGTTCAATATTGTATAACTGTATTAATTCAACTGGGAACCTAAAAATTTTATAGCCACGTTTGAAAGAAATATATCTTTGCACTGGAAATTGTTATTGAGTATGTTAAGGCTGTAATGAAATGCTTCTTCTAAAAATTAATTTTTCTAAAAAAATTAAAAAAATTAATACAGCCATATATAACAAACCCACAGCCAACATCATTCTAAATGGAGAAAAACTGGAAGCATTCCCACTGAAATCAAGAACCACACAAGGCTGTCCACTGTCTGCACTTCTCTTTAACAGAGTGGTTAAAACTCTTGCAAGGGCAATAAGACAACAGCAGGAAATTAAAGGAGTAATAATTGGAAAAGAAGAGATCAAATTATCCCTTTTTGAAGATGATATGATATTATATCTAAGAGACGCCAAAAATTCCACCAGAAAACTCCTAGAAATTATTAACACGTTCAGTAAAGTTGGCAGGTTACAAAATTAACCTACAAAAGTCTGTAGCCTTTCTATATACCAATAACAAGCAATCAGAGGACGACTACATGGAAACACTCCCCTTCACAATACCTGCAAAAACAATAAAATATCTCAGAATAAACCTGACCAAAGACATGAAAGAGCTCTACAATGAAAACTTGAAATCATTAAAGAAAGAGATTGAGGAAGACATCAGAAGATGGAAGGACCTCCCATGCTCATGGATTGGAAGAATTAATATTGTGAAAATGACCATCCTACCAAAAGTCATTTATAGATTCAATGCAATGGCAATCAAAATCCCCATGACATTTTTCACAGAATTGGAAAAAAACATCCTAAGATTCATATGGAAGCACAAAAGACCTCAGATAGTCAAAAGAACCCCGAGCACTAAGAGCAATGCTGGGGGGGTTTACTATACTAGATTTTAAGCTGTATTACAGAGCTATAGTCATAAAAACAACATAGTACTAGCACAAAAACAGACCCACAGATCAATGGAACAAAATTGAAGACCCAAATGTGAGTATATGCAATATCAGCCACCTGATATTTGACAAAGGGGCCAAGAATATTCACTGGAGGAAAGACAGCATGCTCAGCAAATGGTGCTGGCAAAACTGGATCTCCACCTGTAGAAGAATGAAACTAAACCCCTATCTTTCACCCTGCACAAAAGTCAATTCCAAATGGATCAAAGACCTCAATGTAAAGCCTGAAACTCTGAAACTGTTAGAAGAAAACATTGGGAAAAACCTTTAAGATACAGGTGTAAGAATGAATTTTCTAAACCAGACATTAATTGCTCAGGAAACGAGGACAAGAATTAACAAATGGGACGTCATTAAACTAAAAAGCTTCTGTACATCAAAGGAGGCAACCAGGGAAGCGAACAGAAAACACACAGAATGAGAGAAAATCTTCACCAGTGACACATCTGACAGAGGTTTAATATCCAGAATATATAATGAACTCAAAAAACAGAGAAGCAAGACAAGAAGTAACCCAATTAAAAGATGGGCTAAGGAGCGGAAGAGGGAGTTCTCAAAAGAAGTAGTAAAGATGGCTATGAAGCATCTTAAAAGATGTTCAACATCACCAATAATTAAGGAAATGTAAATTAAAACCACTTTCAGATTTCATCTCACCCCAGTCAGACTGGCTAAGATCAAGAGAACAAATGATGCCAAATGTTGGAGGGGATGTGGGGAA